CTGCACGAGGCGCCTCTCCAGGCCCTGAACCTCCACCGCCGCCAGGCGCAACGCCACCTCCACTACCTCCGCCTCCACCTCCACTACCACCACCAGAACCGCCTTTCTTGCCACTCCTACCGCGGGACCGCGACGCAGTCGTAACAGCAGCTGCAGTCGCGTCAGTAGCGGCAGTGGCAAGTGAGGCAGTAAAGGTGGGTAACTGCGGGACTGTGCACCCGTGGAAGAGTGGGGGGGGCACAGCACCAGAGGCAGCGGCTACCGAGCGAAGGTTGCTCTCGACGTCCTTGAGTGTAGACTCAAGGACATCGACGGTGAGCTCACTAGGGTGCTTCAGCAGAAGCGCGTCGCGAACGGAGGCAAGGCGGTCAGGGAGGCTAGTGGCGATGAAATAGATAGTAATCGCCATAGGGGGAGGAAGCAGTGCAAGCTGTGCCTCAGTGCAAGCAGCGCGGTAACTAGCGTCGAGCGAGCGGAGGTGAGCGATCAAGTCAGCAGAGCGCTCAAAAGACGCTAGGTCAGGAAACAGGAACGGGAGGAACAGGCGGCCAAGAGAGACAGCAGCGGGAGAAGAGTAGCGGGCCTTAATCGCAGTGAGGTACTCAGCAGCGGTGCGAACCTGAGTGAAGTGAACCTCCTCAGACTCAGGGAGGAGGCTGCTGAGCGCGATGCAGGCCGCAGCGTCACGTGACGTCCAAGCCGTCTGGTCAGCTCGCTGAGTGGCAAAGCGGGCTCTAGCGGCTTCGTCAGGGGCAGGTCCTAAAGGCGTAGGGTCGGGGGGCGCAGGTAGGGCACCAGTAGCGTGCGCCCAGAGGGTCTCGCCTGCCTGGACCTGACTCTCTAACAGACGGCGAGCACGAAGAAGCCAGACGGAAAAATCAAGAGGTCTACCGTCAGCGTCGAAACGAAGCACACGCGGAGTCGCCATAGCGAGAACTAACGCTAGGGATACAGTGGCAGCGGAAGAGCAGGCTAGGGTTAAGACGACGGGCTGGGTTTAGGGGCGAGCCGCTACAGGGGAAAGGGCGGGCCGCTACAGGGGAAAGGGCGGGCCGCTACAGGGGAAAGGGGAAGGGGCGGGCCGTGACGGAGGGAAAGGACGGGCGGGACGCGACGGGGGGAAAGGGACCCAACGGGGGGGAAAGGACGGGCGGGACGCGACGGGGGGAAAGGGGCACGACGAGGGGAAAGGACGGGCGGGACGCGACGGGGGGAAAGGGACGCGACGAGGGGGAAAGGGCGGGCAGGACGCGACGGGGGGAAAGGGACGCGACGAGGGGGAAAGGGCGGGCAGGACGCGACGGGGGGAAAGGGACGCGACGAGGGGGAAAGGGCGGGCAGGACGCGACGGGGGGAAAGGGACGCGACGAGGGGGGAAAAGGCGCGACGCGACGGGGGGAATGGGCGGCGACGCGACGGGGGGAACGGGCGCGACACGACGTGGGGGGGGAACGCGACGCGACGGGGGGTAAGGGCGGGCGCTACGGAACGAGGGGAACGGGTGGCGCGGACGGGCGCTAGGATTGGCGCTAGGCTCGGCACTACGCGCGGTAACAACGGAACCGGGACGAATGAGAGCTAGGATCAGGCTCGGGAGGCTCGAACGGAGAACGGAGGAACGGGATCCCACAGGATCCTAACCTAACTGATACCATGTCAAAATGAAGAATGGATGATGCATTGATGTTGGTTGGGGTACATATAGCTAACCCTAAGTTTTGTACCCCCTAAGACAAACCTCACTATAGGCTACAACATTTGACAGATTCTACCTCGCGCCGCTTTCGTCTTTTCTGCTGCCAACCTACACCCAACTCGGTGTCAAGAGTTTCCTGCCTAGCTAGGAATCTTCCTATATTGTCTCGTCCATTTCATTGTATCATCAGTTCATTTAGTCACATCTTCGTTATTGTTGGATTCTGCAAACTCTGTTTGATAATTCATAACAGGTTCTTCTCTTGTGAGATGTACAATGTAGTTCTAAGGATTACGCGAGATTCCAATAGAATGTCAAAACGTTTGGATTTTCTCTAGTTTCTGACACGGCCCACTCGCACATCTCGCTCGACATACTCCACACATTTCAACGGATAAACTCCGTGTCCGCTAGTCGCCCCCACACCGTAGTCCCAATCGCAGGTTTCGTTCATACGCCGATCTGCTATCGCCTAGGGTTTCGAACACGCTTTCGATCGGCGATCCCGCCAAATGTTTACTCTTGTCACGCCTCCCCCGCTACCTCACCTCGCCGCGCTTTTCATAGCGGCCTGCCTCCTCGCCTCCCTCCGCTGTCTCGCCTCGCCTTCCTTTGCATCGCCACAAATCGCCGCCGCTGTCAATCCCCTGCTCGCGGTCTCGCCGCGCCAGCTGTAGGCGTCACCGCACGCACCGAGCTCAGCTGCCTCGCCTCGACGCCTGTCGAGGATTCGCCTCGACTCCCCACGCTGCCGCCTCACGCCACCGTGAACGCGCTCACCGCGCCTCACACTGCTGCGGTTTTGCGTGCTCTCGCACGTTCAGATTCGCCGCCCCCTCGCGAAACCTCGCTACGACCCCTTTTTCGCACTAGTCGCCGCAGCCGCATGTGAGATCCCGACAGCCGCCTCCGCTTTCCCCTTCCCGCCTCCCCATTTCCCCGTCCCGCCTCCCCATTTCCCCGTCCCGCCTCCTCATTTCCCCTTCCCGCCTCCCCATTTCCCCTTCCCGCCTCCCCATTTCCCCTTCCCGCCTCCCCATTTCCCCTTCATTCTTTCCCATTTCCCCTTCCTGACTCCCCATTTCCCCCTACTGCCTCTCCATTTCCCCTTCCCGCCTCCCCATTTCCCCTTCCTGCCTCCCCATATCCCCTCCTTCCATCCTTACCTCCCCACTCCTGCCTCCCCTCCTCTGCGGCCATTCCCTCCCCTCCCCTCCCAGTCCTCCCTTTCAATCCCATTGCTTCCCTACCCACCCCTTCCTTCCTCTACCTTCCTATTCCCTACTGATCCCTCCCCCGTCCCCCCGTTTCGTGGCCCTATATCCAGCGACGCTCCTGCTGCGAGTGCAGGTGAGGGCAGGCCCGGGAGAGCGGTGTAATTGAGGCGCTCGTTTGGAGTCTTGACTCTCTGCCATTACCAACCTGGCGAATTTGGGCCCGTCTATCGTGAGAAGGCAGGCTCACCCAGCTGCAGATTGCGTGGGCGACAAGTGTAAGAGAGATAGGGGAGGAGTGGTAGTGGGAGTGGAAGGCTGGTCGTGACGAGCTAAGGTGCGGCACTGTGCTATGGGAGGCGCGAAGATTGACTTTTGAGTCGTCTTTAAAGGTGCGGCACGGTATGGGAGGTGCGATGAGTGAATGAAGGCGTGGTGAAGGCGCTAAAACGCATAATTGAACGTCCAACCCTCTCACAAGGCGCCAACACGGCCTCGGGACCAGCGATGCCGTGGGCCTTTCATGAATCGCGAGAATTCACTTGTCACCTCACTACACCACATGCCCCTGCGCGCATTGATAGAGGCCCAGAATTTCACACACCTGCGAGTTACCCTAATCTAGACATGGAGACGCGGTTAGGAGTATGTCGAGGTACCCTAAACCCTACTGCTACGCGACGAATGTGCTCTTCCACAATGATATTGCTGCTGAGTTTGTCAAGTATAGCAGCAGTAGCACGGTACCTTGATGAGTCGATTACTAGGGATGGTTAGAGGGTTGGCCTTACACCGATCGTCTATACCCACCTACTGAATTTTTAAGTCACTTGTAGAGTGTCACCAACCCAATTTTCGTCATTTCAGTTCGCGCATGCGAAATTTATTTCCTCAAACCCAACATTCCTAACCTGCTTTACTAATGTATACATTCGTTTCAATCGCAGTGTAGTTTTGATTGTTATCCTACTCTAATGCTGGTTGTGTATTTCCCCGATTCTTTACAGTTGGACCTGGGTCGCCAGCAGCCTCACGACGGCTAACAAAGCGTCATTTCATCGAAGCCGCTTCCTTCTGTGAACAGCCGCTCGTTTTCAAGCATGGTCAAACCATGCATATGAATGGAAACCAGTGTGCTCAGGGGACCAAACGAGTGTATTTACACTGGAAGAACCATCGGCGCCTCGCTCCCCGCAGCCGCAAAGCCCTCCCCTCACCCCGTTGGAGCCGCAAGAAGCCGGGCGATCGCGGTGGAGCTTTGTCGTCGTCAACGTGTTCCTGTAGTGAGTGGAGTGAGTGTTCCTGTAGTGAGTGGAGTGAGTGTTCCTGTAGTAAGTGGAGTGAGTGTTCCTGTAGTGAGTGGAGTGAGTGTTCCTGTAGTGAGTGGAGTGAGTGTTCCTGTAGTGAGTGGAGTGAGTGTTCCTGTAGTGAGTGTTGCGCAACTGAATGCTCCTCTTGTAGTAGTGGTAGCAATCGTTGTATGGTAAGTCGCTCGATGCCGGCCGCGACCATTAATGGGTACAGCGACGGTGTGAACGCAGTGGAACTAAGGTATCTTACTTTGTCTACCCAAAGTCATCTTTGAATCGCCTCAATGACAGTTGCGTCGGTGGTAACCACGGAACGCTAACGGTTGTGCAACACAACGCACCTTGCCCTTCCCTGCTCCTCCCTCGCAACACCCTCTTCTGCTGTTCCGCACTCTCCTCCTCTCCCTCCATGCAGCGGCACTGTGTGCAGCGATCGCAGAGTCAAGCACACCACCCCCGTTACCCACCAGCACAGCGCTCGTCTCACTCCCCAGTCGCCACCTCTCACACAACGAACTGCGGTGCGATAGCAAGATAACCCCTCGCATGTGTTAGAAATCGATAAGTTTTCCCACCACTCCCCACCTTCCCCCCTTCCACACACACTCCTTCATTACCCCCCTCCCCTCCCCGCACCCTCTCGCTTGCATCCACCATCCCCTATCCTCATCTGGCTTCCCTCATCACCCATCTGCCTTCCGCCATGCCCCATCCCCATCCCCTCTATTCTCTCGCAATGACAGTCAGGGGCCGGCCCTTGCAACGAGCTGCAGTGCAGCAATGTGCAGGTGGGGAGGTGGTAGGCACGAATATCGCCCTTCCCCACTCTCCCTCCCCCCCCATACCTCCAACTCCCCCATCCCTCCCGGGACCCTCCCTATTCCCCCCTCCCACCCCGCTCCCCCGTTCCTGTTCTCCATACTTCCCTCCTCTCGTCTCGCAGTGACGGCCGTGCCAGGCGCCGGCCCGCATGCAACGAGCTGCAGTGCAGCAAGGTGCAAGTGGTGCCGTGGAGGGGAGGCAAGAGGTGCGAGGTACTGGAAAGGGGCGAAACGGACAGGAGGGCCCAAGGGGGTGATGGTGGAGAGGAGGGTTTGGGAAGGAGCGCGTGGGTGGCAGGTGAAGGGCGTGAGGATGAGGAGCTGGCAGACGTCATGGCTGCTCTTGGCCTGCCAGTGCAGTTCAGTGGAGGGGCGCGGGCTGTGCGGTCAACAGCAGAGGAAATAAAGGTGAGTGTGGAATCGGCACCGGGTGGAAGCAGAGCTGGCAGGCACCGTTGCTGCTCTTGGCTTGCAGGTGCAGTTCCCGGACCATGCAGACAGCACGGCACGTGCACGTGCACGAGAAGCTTTTCATAATCCGCATTAGGCAGCACGAGATGCTGTGGCGGGCGCGCATGAGCTTCATTTTATTGCTCCCTCGCAATCCTTGGTGCTCTCGCCGTTGTCCCCTTTGCCTTAATCTACTCCGCAGTACTCTTTTTGCATCTGCATTCCTTTCCAGTGCAATGCCCCCCGTTTTTGGACTGCAGGTCCAGGCCACTCCACTGACTGGGCCCTCCCAACCACCAGGCCTGCGGCGTTTGGACGTGCATGTTGATAAAATGTTTGCTGACGTCCCTGCTCTCTGTTTGTTTTCGTTTCTTTCTGTGGTGCAGCAGCAGGGCGGTGGAGGTGGTGGTAGTACTGGTGGTGGCGGTGGCGGTGGCGGTGGTGGTGGTGGTGGTGGCAGTGGCGGTGGCGGTGATGGTTCTGGTGGGGCTCGTGGAGGAGAGAAGAAGAGGCGGGGGAGAAGGAGGGGCGATGGAGAGGGTGTGGCAGGGATGGGTGCAGCGATAGCAATGGAGGGTGGTGCTGATGCAGCGAGGCACGTTGCTGCTGATGCAGCCATAAGTGCTCCCACAGGGGAAGTGGTGGAGGGTACTGCAGAGATAGCAGTGGTGGGGAGCGGTGCAGAGGCAGTGGAGGGGAACATTGCAGTGGCAGTTGAGGGTGGCATGGGGACAACAGCACAGGTCGCTGCAGAGGCAGAAGTAATGGCAGTGGGTGGTGCTGAGTGGCAGTGGGTGGTGCTGAGTGGCAGTGGGTGGTGCTGAGTGGCAGTGGGTGGTGCTGAGCTGATGGGCGACGAGCAAATGGGAGAAAAACAAACACTGGAAGGGGAGACCGCGGGAGAGCAGGCAATGGAAGGGCAGGTAGTGGAGGGGCAGACAGAGGGAGTGTCAATGGTGGTGGCGGAGGAGGGTGCATGGCAGGCGGTGTGGGAGCCGCTCTCCCACGGCGTGTACTTCTGCAATGCTGCCGCCGCCCTCACCCAGTGGCACCCGCCAGTCCATGGCGAGGGGAGTGGGCTTGCGTGCTGGGTGGGATGGACGCCTGAGCAGGCTGTAACTGACCAAGCTGCAGCAGCGAAGGCTGTAGCTCACCAGACATTATTTGTAGAGGGCGCTTCCCCACAGGCAGAAGCCGTGCAGGTCTTATCTGAGCTGGCTGTAGCAGAGGAGGCTGGAGCAGAGGAGGCTGTAGCAGCGGGGTATGAGAAGTACTGGCAGCAGCGGTACGGTCTGTTCTCACGGTTCGACGAGGGCGTCGTATTGGATGCTAACGCGTGGCCCCTTGTCACCCCTGAGGCCATCGCCGCCCACCACGCTGCCATGTGTGCTGCTGCCATGGATTGTGGTGGTGCCACGTGTCTAGGGGGTGATGCTGCCACGTCAGCTGGAGGCGGTGGTGCTGGTATGTTCGCAGGAGATGGAGGCGCCACTTGTGCAGAAGATGGTGCTGCCACGCATGCTGCTGTCACGTGTGCTCCTGCCACGTGTGCTGCTGCCACGTGTGCTCCTGCCACGTGTGCTGCTGCCACGTGTGCTCCTGCCACGCATGCTGCTGTCACGTGTGCTCCTGCCATGTGTGCTGCTGCCACATGTGATGGCCACACTGCACCGATACGTTCAGAAGAAGAGGCTTTAGAGAAGAGAGGAGTCCGAGTAAAAGCAGGGCAGGAGGAGGGGAAGGATGGAGGGGAGGGAGAGGTGAAAGCAGAAGTTACAGCGATGGGCAGGCAGGGAGGAGGAAAGGAAAGAGGTGGCTTTCTGGAAGCAGGAGGGTGTGGGGGTGGAATACGAGCAGGGAGGTGTGAGCGTGCAGCAGGGGTGGGGGATGCGGCAGGCATGGTGGGGGATGCAGGAGGCGTGGTGGTGGATGCCTTCTGTGGGGTGGGCGGCAACACCATCCACCTTGCCAAGCTGTGAGTCTTGCCTCAGTGGTGGGGGGGCTTCTATGGGTAACCTCATTTAGGGTTCTGTATCCAGAGTAACCCAGTGACATATTCCTATTTGAATGACCCAGTAACTAACCTGTGGCAAGGGATCAGGGGTCAGCAGCGTATGAAAGTGAATCAGGGGTGGTGGGAGGTGTGGATAGTGGGTAGTGGATGGATTCCATGAGAGGCGGGTGAGCACGACCATGTACCTCGCACAATCTTCCTTGCTTGTATACGTCCATGCCCAATCACAGCATTTGCCTCCACATCGCACCCTCTCTCACTTCCCGTTCCCCCTTCCCCACCTCCTCATTCACCCATCTCTCCCCACGTGCTGGCCATCGTCATGAGCGAGCCTCGCCTGGCCATGCTACACCACAGCCTCGCCCTCTAGGGCCCCTGTGAGGCTGTGCCCTCTACGGCCCCTGTGAGGCTGTGCCCTCTACGGCCCCTGTGAGGCTGTGCCCTCTACGGCCCCTGTGAGGCTGTGCCCTCTACGGCCCCTGTGAGGCTGTGCCCTCTACGGCCCCTGTGAGGCTGTGCCCTCTACGGCCCCTGTGAGGCTGTGCCCTCTACGGCCCCTGTGAGGCTGTGCCCTCTACGGCCCCTGTGAGGCTGTGCCCTCTACGGCCCCTGTGAGGCTGTGCCCTCTACGGCCCCTGTGAGGCTGTGCCCTCTACGGCCCCTGTGAGGCTGTGCCCTCTACGGCCCCTGTGAGGCTGTGCCCTCTACGGCCCCTGTGAGGCTGTGCCCTCTACGGCCCCTGTGAGGCTGTGCCCTCTACGGCCCCTGTGAGGCTGTGCCCTCTACGGCCCCTGTGAGGCTGTGCCCTCTACGGCCCCTGTGAGGCTGTGCCCTCTACGGCCCCTGTGAGGCTGTGCCCTCTACGGCCCCTGTGAGGCTGTGCCCTCTACGGCCCCTGTGAGGCTGTGCCCTCTACGGCCCCTGTGAGGCTGTGCCCTCTACGGCCCCTGTGAGGCTGTGCCCTCTACGGCCCCTGTGAGGCTGTGCCCTCTACGGCCCCTGTGAGGCTGTGCCCTCTACGGCCCCTGTGAGGCTGTGCCCTCTACGGCCCCTGTGAGGCTGTGCCCTCTACGGCCCCTGTGAGGCTGTGCCCTCTACGGCCCCTGTGAGGCTGTGCCCTCTACGGCCCCTGTGAGGCTGTGCCCTCTACGGCCCCTGTGAGGCTGTGCCCTCTACGGCCCCTGTGAGGCTGTGCCCTCTACGGCCCCTGTGAGGCTGTGCCCTCTACGGCCCCTGTGAGGCTGTGCCCTCTACGGCCCCTGTGAGGCTGTGCCCTCTACGGCCCCTGTGAGGCTGTGCCCTCTACGGCCCCTGTGAGGCTGTGCCCTCTACGGCCCCTGTGAGGCTGTGCCCTCTACGGCCCCTGTGAGGCTGTGCCCTCTACGGCCCCTGTGAGGCTGTGCCCTCTACGGCCCCTGTGAGGCTGTGCCCTCTACGGCCCCTGTGAGGCTGTGCCCTCTACGGCCCCTGTGAGGCTGTGCCCTCTACGGCCCCTGTGAGGCTCCACCTGCACATCTTCACCCGACCTGAATCTCTCCACTCTTCACCCCCAACGCGTCAACCCCTCGTTCCCTCCCAGCTGCCCCCACGTGCTGGCGGTAGACATGAGCCAGCGTCGCCTAGCCATGCTGCACCACAATTTGAGCGTCTACGGCCCCCACCTGCCCCACCGAGTCGATGCGATCTGCGCTGACTTCCTCTGCATTGCACCGCGGCTTAAGGTGAGGGACGGTACGCATGAGGTGAGGGACTGCAGGCATTAGGTGAGGGAACACTCATGAGGGGCCTTGAGGTTTTCACCGACTTCCTCTCCTTTGCACCACAGTCCTAAACATCCATGAGGCCACCCATCCTGACCCCCATGAGGCCATACATACACATGTCACATCCATTTGATGTACTGTCCGCATCATGTCTCTGTGCTGCCATATGTCCTCCTGCCTCTGCCGTTTCGCATTTCGCTCGTTGGCCTGAACGGATGGCTGATATGGTTCATGCCGCCATGCCCACAGCCTCCATGCGGCATCCCTCCGTGCCGCCATGGCGCCATGCTCTCCCCTGTGCGTTTCCCTTGCTTTCTGCAGGGCAGGCTGATGTAGTGTTCCTGTCCCCCCCATGGGGTGGCCCGGAGTATCTTGACGAATCAGAGTACGACATCTGGAGCATGCTGCAGCCAGTTAGTGCGTACGTGCCGCCCTCGAGTGGCCTTTACTTGCTGACCACATCCCCCCCCCCCCCTTTTTTTTTTTTTTTTTGTCCTCCGAAACTTTTTGTTCTGTTAGCATGGTTTTGAGTGGAATGTGCAACCTCTCAATCCATGCGTTCATGCGTGCTGACTAGCCCTCTCTCCACCCTCCACAGCACCCTTGCTCCCATTGCCTCTCCTTCTTCCCTCAGTCTTCTCCGCCTACTAGAGACTGCTGAATTACAATGCACTACATCACCCTCGATAGCACCTTTGTCTCCTGTGCTGCTTCCCCTTCCCCCAGCTCTGCGCTGCTGCAGCTATCACTAAGCATCGTCCCATCAGTGGCCATGCACCTTCCTCGCAACACTCCCATCTGCCACTTTGGCACCACTCCACACCCTATACCACCTTTGTCTCCTGTTTTGCTCCTCCCACACCCCCACCCCAGCTCTGCGCTGCTGCAGCTGTCACTGAGCATCGCCCCCTCAGTGGCCATGTACCTGCCTCGCAACACTCCCATCCACCACTTGGAGCATCTCGCTCGCTCCATCACACCTTCTGGTCCCTGCCTGGTGCGTAACTTGTGTCTCGTGCTGCAATTGCTACAGTGCTGATATGTGCTTGTTAGAACACAAAGATCTGAGGTCCTAGCATCTGTTTGACATTCTTGTTTGAACTTCCTTCAATGTGCTGCAGGTAGAGCGGAATTTCTTGAATGGGAAGTTCAAGGCTATCACTGCATACTTTGGCCCTATTGCATGTGTTCCCAGATGCATTGAGTGTCAGAACATCAGCAGTGTATATTGACCTCAATACTCTGGTCATGTCTGAAAAGCATGATAATACCAGACTCATCCTACTACGGTAATATGCAGCCGCATTGCAGGTGTTTCCACATTTTATTGAGTGTAAAAAAAATCAGTAGTGTACATTAACATCAAAATGATGAGAATGAGGATCCTCATGCAGATTGGCATACCGTACCAACTGAGAAGCCCACATTGATCCAAGGTCATATTTATGGCACACAAATAAACCTGGAGCCTACACTCCCAACACACTTCTTCTCATTGTACATGTAGTATTTTGAAATGGCTCCATTCTGAGCTCCACCATAGAAGCTGTATGCACCTGAGCACGTCAATGATGGTGATACTGGTTTTTGCCTACCCTTCTTGCATATGCCGACATCGAATGCCCAATACTCTGCTCGTAGGCAAATCTGCAATGGCGCCATTTACAAACACAAGGAGTGCAAGGAACATATAGTGAGGGAGTAAAAGGAAGAGATTGTAACAATAAGAAAAACATTCCTTACTAATGATTAAGGGCAAATAGTTGGAACGAAGGGCACATGAGGGACGACCTTTGCACCCTCACCCATCGAACACCCCTTCATTCCACAGTTTTCCCTCCACCTTTTCCTCCCATCTCTTGCCCCCCATCCTTCCTGGTCCGTTCTCCCCTCCACCACTCACCTGCACGCCAGTGTTGCTGCCAACAGCAGGGGCGGTGATCGGGATGACATCGGAGCAGATGAGGCCGGGATTGTTGCGGTACAGCTCAGCCCAGCGCATGGCATTCACCTCCCCAGCCCCTGTTGGGTCGCCCTCACTCCCCACCACCTGCCGCAGCAGGCGCTCGCACGTGTCCTGTGGTGTGAGCATGCCGTATCGCGAGCACTGAGGGACGGTGAAAGCGAAGGTGGCGTTGCGCTCGACGCACAGAGAGCGGCCCGCCTTGATGGGCTCAGAGCAGTTGAGGCCGGGATTGAGAGCAGTGAGGTTGCTGCTGGTGAGGCCCAGCTGCGTGCTGATGGACCAGCATGTGTCGCTCTGAAGTGTTGAATAATGGGGGAAAAGGCACAGATGCTTGCGGTGAATGGAGTACGGCTGTACTATGAACATTTCAAATTAGACCGAGATGAACAGATTGCCTTGCTGAGCTGATACAGAGCAAAGGAGAGTGAAGCTCGAAAGAGAGGAGTGATGAGAAGGGCGAAATATCATGGTGAGGGTGTAAAAGACAACTTCAGAGGTTTAAACAACAGGAGAGAAGGTACAGTACATAAGCCCTGGAGGTGGAAGTAGGGCGGCTATTTTGTTCAATGTAGAAGACAGCTGAGTTGCTAAAATATTAATTGCTTAACCAAGTAGAGTGAAGTGGAAGATCTGGGAAGAGAGGACCAATTCGGAAATATATAGAAGGAATAACAACAAGGGCTAAAGCTCACGCTGATGGTGTAGAAGAATGCGGTGCAGGGAATGAGGAGAGAATTCCCCAGCTGAAGCACCACGTTTTGAGGCAAAGGACGCCTGCAGTCAACGGCCTGCAATGAGGAGCACAAGCATAATAGAATTCGAAGCAACTTAGGCATTCTGTGGGGCTACTGCGACCATTCACTTTAGCCAATAACTTTGATACGATCCCCTGGACATTGCAGTTCATGCTTTCCTGCTCTACCACCACCTCTGCCTGCATCTCCACTCTTCCAGACTTTCCTGGCTTACCTGATTATTCTGCGTGAATTGTGCAAGTGAGAGGCCCACAAGAAGGAGGACATCAGAGCACCACCAGTTGCTGCCACTCACTGCCAGGGTGCTGGCCGTGGTGTTGGCTGAAGAGGGATGATGAGATCGAAAGAAGGGGAACACACCAAATAGAGGGGCTTAACTGAGAACAAACTGAATAGTCTTTGTGTAGAGATCAAACTGCAGCCATTTTTTGGCCGTCTGGTTCAATAAGAACCGACTCAGTTCGTCATCAAACCGGTTCAGTTCAGTGACTTGGTCATGGCTACCGGGGAGCACAAGCAGTTTGAGAGGATCGTGATGACCCCAACATTTGGTACAATACTAACTGAAAAGAGTAGTGACCTTCCAAACCAGGCCAAAGCAGCAGCACCTGGGTCGCAGGTGGGGAAGCTGTCAATGGTTGTGCTTTCAATGTAGTTGGGAGGGCAGATGCAGGAGTAGGAGCCCTTGCCGTCATTGACGCATGTGCCCACATAGCAGGGGTTCTTCAAGTCAGACCCACACACGTCCACTGGCAAGCGACACGAAGCACAAAACGATATACATGTGTTGTAAGCAATGGGATGAGTGGGTGGAGAGAGGGGAAGGACATGTACACGCCCAAAAAGATATACATGGACATAGGCTTGGTTAAAGAAATCGTTGATGAACAAACCAGACCACTGTTTTGACAATGGCCATGGAGAAACATCATTATCTGAGAACGAAACGACTTACAATAGGCACATGTTTGGGAGCCATATCCATTTGCAACTTGAAGAAATGGCTGCCTGGCTTCATTTGAAAGCGAGCAGTTACACGAATTGGTGTTTCTGTGCAGGTTAGCTCGGCATGTGAAGCGCCCACACGGGTTCATGCTGGGCTGAAGGTCGCCGTCACCCTTGAAGCTCCTGTGTCCGCATGGGTCCTTGGGAACTGGAGGGTGGTACAGACGAGATTAGGAGTAGTAGAAACGGGTTCAATAGCAGCTTCACTGAAAGGCGTGAGCCAAGGAATGAGCAAGGTTAGCCAAGTGAGAGGTGTAAGGTCTGGAAAACGTGAGTTCGAAATTCTCCATCTTACGAACGTGGACAGCACTCCCTCACACTCTCTTCTCTCTATTGACCATGTCTCCACCCCACCCTACTCAATAGCTGTGATTTACATATTTTTATGTGCCTTTCACTCTGGACCAGTGACTATTGACCCTGTGATCTACTTGAATTGAAGGGATGAGGAGATCGAGATACGACGAGGGAAATTGCTTCACTCAACGGTAGGTGCCTCACTCTTGACAATGGGGTAGATGCCAGGCAGCACGTTGATGCCACACACGCCATCCCCTCCCTGAATGTCCATGCGCATGTGGCCCCTGTCACCCCACTCCACTCCCCAAGAATTGCGGATTATCCAAAATGGAGGCGCGATGCGATTTTGGCTGCCGTCATTTCTGAAGACGAAGTAGCCAACAACGAGTACAGCATGGTTCAGTCTGCCGGTGTAGCAGCCAGGATCCTGGTACTTGAAGGTCTGAAGAGAAAGAGGGACATCACAACAAAGATGGGAATGGGTGTTTTAAAAATGTACAGATTGATGTGTGTAACAACTTTTGTAAAACTATTTTCAACGTATGCACATCATACAGGGTATATGCAGGCACCACCCACCCCGTCATATTGCGCGAAGTCTCGAGCAGAAGCCTCTATGTGAACCACCAGTGGCTGTCGTCGAACTGCCAGCATGAGCCCCACAAACCCCTTGAACCGAGTGCGCTCAAATGCGTGAACAGTGTACTTTTTTTTCTGAATGTCAACAACTCAAAGGGAATTTCGCAACATGTTGGAAGGAAGAGCAAAAAACACAATAAGAGACCTCAATAGAAAGAGATCAACATTCGCTTGCTGAAAATGAATGCAACAAGTAAAGACTAACCTGGTTAAACCTAGCCAATTCTAGAAACCAGTACACCATTGGGGTGCATAATAAGATGGCTACAACATACATAATCTACTCATTCAACTTGAAATGTTGTTGTGTTATGGAACCTCAAAGATGGGTTTTAAGCTGTACAAATGAGCAGGAGTCTTAACTTGTTTCTAGATATAGTGCAAGTAGTGCAAGGTTGTATTGCGAATATGAATCGAATACACCCAGCTTTCACTTTTTTATATATATATATATATATTTTTTAATATTCACCATAGTTCTAGTCATCCCTCACAGAATCGTCTAGGTCTGGAGCGTGAAAGCTTTATCTCCTCAGCCCACGGTGTGTACGATTCCCTCGATCACTCGAGCATTAGGGAAAAAATATTTGATGAACGGATACATGCCAACAGTATGCTTTGACAAATCCGTACAAACATTCGAGTGTTCAGTAGAGCCCTGAATACCACGCGAATACCGAGTTGTTTGTTTACAGGCTTAGTCAGCCTTTTCTCTGTTTGTCGAGGTAGAATCTGTTTGTCGCTTGCTTGAATGGCTTGGGCCTTAAGGCTCGACCAATCCATTTAGCATATCTAATTTCGAAATAGAGTCTATGCGATAGAGAAATTTGTTCAGCTGTGTTAGAGATTGCAACCGTTGACAGTGACTGCAAGGACTAACTCTAGAACTCAGAGAAGAGTCTTTGTGTCACTAGTTGTCGTGTCGTTGCAACTCAACTCAACATCAGGCACACTACACAGAGATCACAATTCTCTCACAAACATCTATCCTTTCTAGCCTTCTACTCCTGCACCACACTACTCACAGGTGCGCCAGCCTTTGTGATTCCAGCATTGGCCAGCGTGAGAAGCGTTTCAAACGCCTCGGTGGGGGAGCCCCCCGTGCGGCACTTGTCTGCCTCGGAGGTGAGCCCCATGGCTGCAAAGAGCGAGTCCACTGACAGCTGCGGCGCCTCTCCATTCGTTGCAATGCCGTATGCCGCTTCCACACTCGCCACCACCGCAAACGCCCAAAAAGCATCTGGGTATGTGAAGAACAGTTATGTGAATGAACAAAACAAAGTGGATCCGAAGAATGTTGAAACGAAGCGGTGAATAACCAGAGTGGATCTAAGCGCGTATAGAGCTGAGTATTGTGAAATGGCTGGCTGAAACATGTGGCCAGCAGCAGAGCAGGTGGCGGAGAACTATCCATAACACACCAGCCAATCTATTCGCTCCAACATACTTCGCCATTCATTTCACTCACTGCAGTCTTTCTGATCCTTGACGGGCCAACCGAGAAAGGGCACGGAGTCCCAGGAGTGGAAGTCGCTGACAACCCACGAGTCCTGCTTGCCAGGTGCCACTCGGTAGTCCGCACTCACGTAGCGCGGGAAGGGGCTGGCCCATGATGGCATGTACGTGTTCATTGATAGCAGCAGGCCATAGGCTGGGATGCTCTCAGGAGTTGCATGATGGGGGAATGAATGGGATGTCATCAAGACAGGTTGTGCCAAGGGCAATCTGAACTGGGACAATCAATCATTAGTACAGTCAAGATTTAGTTTCTCTTCTCTCATAAAATCTGGTTGTTGGTTGATTGCCATTTCACATCTATCTAACGTTCCACCCTGCTCCATGTATTCAGTGCAGATTCACCTGTTTTGATACCCCCTTCGGCAACTGTAATGTATTTAGGCACCTCCCCCAATTCAGTACACTGTAACGTTGCTCAGATTCTGTTATTTATTCCTAGAAAGTTGTTTTTAGATAAGGTATATAGTTAACATGATCTTGGGATGTTGGTTGGTGCATAGTACACAATTACCACCTTGGATGAATATTCATACTCGTGCCTTTTCTATCAAAGGCATACGTATTTAATATCACAGGGGCCAAAAAAAGGAAGACAAGCATGGAGAGTGGAGTGAAGGATGCAGGATACAAAGGAGAGGACCAAGCACAAGCATGGGGAAAAGAATTCTCACCTGGAGTACGTGTGACTGATCGGGGAGAAGCAGGAAGGCCTGGGAAAGGACAAAGCAATTGGAGAAAAATAAGAGGTTTTCTGTTTAGCCCTAACCACTAACCATTTGCCAGTTAAACTCGTTCGATTTTCAAAATGCTTGTCAAAAACGGCGAGTTTCGAGTCAGGTCTGAGTAAAAAAAAAAAAGGTCAAGCTTTACCTGACTACTCAAGACTTGATCGACTCAGCATAAAAGCGAGTCGAGAAAAACTTGACTCGTGTAGGTGTTCTGCTCATGTCTATGCTAACCTGTGTCCACTGTAGATTCGAGAATGACGTGCTTCTGAAACGGCTTCACGGTGGTGGAGGCCACGAAGCCAAAGAAGAAGGCGTGCTGCTCGGGCCCACCCTGAAGCACCTCACACAGCGCCAGCCTCCTCTCCAGCACCGCCTCCCGCGGCTTCTCCTTCGAGTTAGCCAGGAAGACCTGGATGGTGCCGGGATCCCCCGGCTCATAATCCACCCACGCCGTGTATGCCTTCTTGCTGCTTAGAGGGAATGGTGACGGCACAGCGGCTAGCGACTTGTCCTCGCCTCGTACATTCAGCCCCACATGCTGGCTGTGCATGTCGCCGTGCTGCTTGTCCTGCCGAGTGTCAAACTCAACTGCCACACTCCGCTTCTCCATTCCACCATACCCCACACCGGTGCCCCTCCCCACCCGGTCGGTTGCCGAGACAACAAAGGCAAAGCCGTTGAAGCCCACGCGGCCGGATTGAGGCGAGAGGGAGAAGGTGAAGTTGGCATGGAAGGCGAGCTGCATTCCACACCCCGACAGCCCCCGCCCTGCCTCGTACACAAACAGAGTCACCGGAGCTGTGGTGAAGTTTCCCCTCGTCTCCCGCTGCGTCCCCTTGGTGAGCACTGATGCTGGCGGGAGAACCGGCTGGCTGCTTGAGTAACTTCTGTTCTAGCCTGCACAAACAAATGTAACAAACGGGCGGACAGGAGTGGGGATATGGAGGCATGAGAGGAATTTGACTCCCTTCCCACAGACTAGACTACAAGCTCCATCGGCTAGCAGGCTAGACTCAAATGAAATAGTTAAGGCGAAACCAAAATCTGCTCTTTGGTGTTTGATTTCCTTTACTCCCAAACGTTCACCAGATATAGCCACACCACCCTGAATGCCAAAATCCACTATCCACCAAAATCCCGAAACCCTTTGACTATAATAGATATGAGCATATTTCAGACCGGCTCAGCTAGCATAGAACTTCCAACCAAAAAGGTGCTGTAGTTTATGTGAGTTTGACATCCCACCGTTCTGTGAATCTGCGCTCATGTTCCGTCGACTTCAAGTGATGCCCCTACCTTGAGCGACACAGCCAATGTCTCCAGACAGCACAAATCCCGCATCGCACAGGCATGTGGGTGCCAAGCTAGGCCCCTGTGGATAGCACACCCCATGTCCACCACATGCAGCAGCACCACCAGCTGCAGAGGAGACGCCACAGAATGCATTGCATGCTGCCTCCTGCCGCTGCGGCACCAAGGCACAGCCCAGTGGCAGCGTGAAGCTGTTGGCATCGAAAGAAAATGGCTGGCATGCCCCGTCGGGCAGAGGGCCCGAGAGGAAGTTGGTGGAGAGATCCAAAGTGCGCGCAGCAAGAGGCTTCAGTGCACGGCCTGTGAGGTAGTTGTGAGAGAGGTCACTACAGGGGGGGGGGGGGGGGGGGGGGGGGGACAATTGCCAGGAGAAGGACAGATGGGGATCGTCTCAAATGTTGAGTAGAGTGTACAGATGAGGGAGAAGAAGGGCACGCACATGAATGAGAAGAGGCGCGAGGAATCAACAAGAAGCAGAGCAGAACGGGAAGGGGAGGTGGACGAGGAGGATGCAGAAGAGGGAGAGGAAGAGGGAGGCCTACTCGGTTGGTGTTGTGAGACGAGGGAAGTAGGAGGGGCACTGGAAAGTCAACCACGGGCATTCATGTGGTGTCACATCGACCTGATCAGGACTGTTTTCATGATTGGTACTGTTCGCTGTTCACTCTAAACTTTGAGGAAATGTGTGGGTCCTACAACAACGTGAGCTGCACGAGCTGGGTGAGAGTGCTTGGTATGCTCCCATACAGCTCGTTGAAGGCGAGATTCCTGGTGGCCATGGCGGTGAGACGGAAGGATGTTAGAGGAACAACGGGAAGGATACAACTGGAGAATCAGGGCGGTCGGAGTACCAGGTTGGCTGAGTGGGCGGCTTATAAAAATGAATGGTTGAGAGGATACCAATCGTGGCTTGAGGCCTGATGGTGACACAGAAGAATTGTGCAATGTCCAAATGCTAGATTCACATGATAGATTTGCATACTACATTCACTTGTTTGATTCATAAGCTAGGTTCGTGTTGGGCCGCAGTTTGGGACAAACCGGCTCGATTCGACTTTCAGCAAGCCACCAAAAGCCTAATTTTGCCGGTTCGGCCCAAATTGGACGGAAACAAGTTCGTTCAACTGTTCCCGCCTGCCTACAGAGGGTTAGAGGAGAAGAATACGAGTGATTACTGTCAAGATTACGAGACTGGAATGGTTGAACTAACAGAGAAATCAGTACAAATAGCTAACCCTAGAATTGTGTACCCCATACAGGCTAACCCACTGTAGCCTAACAAACCAAACATATATAATGTTTGACACACCCCCATAGGCAAAGTGGGGGAGACCTAGGGGTCACAAGACCAGTCAAGGCAAAGTAAGGCAAACAAGCTCAGGGTGGATCTCGAGGATTCCACACAAATTCCGAGCACAAACAAGCGGTCACAAGACCAGTTCACATGCAGGTTTATAATAGAGCAAGACGTACAATGATCACAACCTAGCAAGAGTAAACATGCAGGTATATAAATATATAGTGATCACAGTACAGGCAAAGTCAAGAAGTGAGCAAGTGAGGGCCAGTAGGCACAAGACCTAACAGAGTACAGAAGCGCTGATGGTCACAAGGCTGGAGTGCCTTGGTGAACACATCAGCAGTGTTGGCCTCAGTGGCCACGTAACGCAGACGAAGCTGACCGCGCTGCTGCAGCTCTCGAGCAAGGAAGTACCGCAGAGCAATGTGCTTCGTTCTGTGCTCCAGTCTGTGCTCCTCACACAAGGCAATGGCAGCCTTGTTGTCGACGTACAGCACTGGAGGAGAACGAGGCCGCTCTCCGAGGTCGGTCAGCAGGTAGGTCAGCCAGCGCAGCTCCTGAGCAGCCATGGCTGTGGCGTAGATCTCAGCCTCACAACTGGAGCTGAGAACAGAAGACGAACGAGTAGAACGCCAAGAAACTGAGCCAGAGCCAAGGCTGAAGGTGTAACCCTGTGACGACCGCTGAGTAGCCTGGTCGTCTGCCCAAGAAGCATCTGAGTGCCCTGTGAGAACAACCCGGTCCCGCCCTCCAAGCACAAGCCCCATGCCCGACGTACTGCACAAGTAGCGCAACACCCTCTTAGCAGCATCCATGTGCTCCTTCCTGTGACGGCCAGGAGCGACATAGCGTGCTAAGATGCTAAGGGGGTATGCAAGGTCAGGTCGAGTGCAGGTCATCAGGTACATGAGGCAGCCCACAAGCTCTGGATACGGGCCACTCGGCTCTACGGACTCATCCGAAGGCAGAGCTGAGAGCGAGTGACCGGTAGGCAGAGGAGTGGACTGAGGCGAGGAGTACGTGAAGCGGAAGCGCTGGAGAACCTGCTGCACCATGTGTGACTGAGTCAAGGTGATGGTGTGCCGTGCTCTGTCCCGGGTGATCCGCAAGCCAAGATAGCTTGTCAGCTCACCCAGGTCTGTGCACGTGTGTCTCCTCTGCAGCTCCGACTTCACGTGGGCGAGTGCCGCTGTGTCAGCTGTGGCAAAGACCAAGTCGTCAACGTACACGAGGATGTAGAACGGCGGCAGCGAGGTGTCGGTGCGTAGAAACAGCGACGGGTCAGCAGTAGAGGGAGCGAACCCAAGAGCCGCAAGCGTCGTCCTCAGTGTGTCGTGCCACTCACGTGGCGCCTGGCGGAGACCGTAGACCGGCCGCTGAAGCCTCCACTGGGTGCCAGGAGGAACCGACCCAGTGAAGCCAGGAGGGCGGCGCAACCAGATCTCCTCGTGCAGGCTGCCCTGCAAGAAAGCAGTGCTGAAGTCAAGTGAGTGAAGCTCGTAGTCGCGGTGAGCGGCTATGTGCAGCAGCACCCGAAGAGTGGTCATCTTCGGGGTGGGGGAGAAGGTCTGGAAGAAGTCGACTCCCTCTCGCTGACTGAAGCCTCGAGCCACGTAGCGTGCCTTGAAGACAGGAGGAGAACCCGGCGGCCGCTTCACCCTGAAAATCCACATGCCACTGACGATGTTCGCCCCAGGAGGGGGAACGTCGTCGACGTAGGTGCCTGTGGACTTCCAGGAAGCCATCTCTGCGTCCATGGCTGTCTGCCACTGAGAGGAGTAGGGACCCGCCATCGCCTCAGCGTAAGAGCGCGGGGTCGGGATGTCTGGTGCATCCGGGTCTCCCTCAGGGGCAACAAGCATGGACACGAGATGAGGCAAAGCAGCAGCAAAGCACTGGAACTCCTCCTGTCTGTCCTCAAGGACGTCCGTGCCAAGAGCACACTCACCCCCGACGGACGGAGGACAGGCAGACTCAGACTCAGACTCAGCGACAAGGCTGGCAGCGTAGTCTAAGCGACAGCGAGCAGCAAAGTCAACCAGCTCAGCGACCAGAGCAGACGCAGCAGAGGACTCAAAGGTCGGGTCAGTGACAACTGTAGCGAGGAGACGCGTAACAGTGGGACTGGCAGCACGACGGGAGTCAGACTCCGGATCAGGAAGAGTAGGCAGAGAGGACGCAGGAGGAGACGGCAGCGGGACACGCTGCGGAGCAGTGGAGGGACGCAAGGTCATGTAGTGAGTGCCAGGGACAGGAGGGGGACGCTCACGTGGGATACGACGACCAGTGCGAGTAGTACGAACAGGCGACGCAGGACGAGACTCAGGCTCACGACGCTCTGTAAGACCTCCTGTGGGACCAGTGTAAGGAGAGGGAGCAGGGAGAGGCGAGGCAGGCGGTAACTGTGACTGCGGTGGGACAGGCAGAGGACACTCGACGGTGGGAGGAGGACTAGGAGGAGGAGCCTGACCAAGAACCTGCTGAAGGAGTGGTACGAAGTACGGTCGCGGCCGCACAGCGTCTCCAGAACCAGCAGGGACACCAGCGGCAGCCCCAACGCCCGAGTCCTCAGCACCAGCAGCAGCTCCAACACCCGGGTCCTCAACACCAGCAGTAGCTCCAACGCCCGAGTCCTCAGCACCAGCAGCAGCTCCAACGCCCGGGTCCTCAGCACCAGCAGCAGCTCCAACGCCCGGGTCCTCAGTACCAGCAGCAGAGCCACCGGTCAGGTCCTCAGCACCAGCAGTAGCGCCGCCGGTCGGGTCCTCAGCACCAACAGCAGCTCCAACGCCCGGGTCCTCAGCACCAGCAGCAGCTCCAGCGTCCGGGTCCTCAGCACCAGCAACAGCGCCACCGCTCGGGTCCGCTGCACCAGGAGCACCACTCCGAAGACTGCAGCGCCGTGTGTACCACTCTCGGATCACCTGAATGGGGGGGAGCTCCTGGGTAGGAGGGGAAGTACTGGGACGAGCTCCAGAAGCACCTCTCCGGAGGCGGCAGTACTCGAGGTACCTCTCCTGCAGCTGCTGGGAGGAGAGGGCTCCTCCAGGTGTAGTACGCTCAGGCTCAGCACCCGAAGACTCAGCACCCCCAGGCTCCGCACCTCCAGGCTCCGCACCTCCAGGCTCAGCACCCCCAGGCTCCGCACGTCCAGGCTCTGCACCCCCAGACTCAGCACCCCCAGACTCAGCACCCCCAGGCTCAGCACCCCCAGACGCAGGACGCGAGTCAACAGCTACCTCGACAGGCTCACCCGGGTCTACCTGGGACACACCTGAGGGAGCGGCACCCTGAGGGGGGAGGGGGTCTGGTACCTCAGCACCTGGAGCGAGGAAGAGAGGCGGGGGGGGGAGCGGGGCAGTGCGGTAGGGGAAGAGGCGGTAGAAGGGGACGGACTCGTCAAAAGTGACGTCCTGAGAGGCCAGAACCCGGCGCGAGGTGACGTGGTAAAACTGCCATCCAGGCGCGTCAGGCACAAAGCCAAGAAAGACACAGGGAACGGCGCGACGCGAGAGCTTGTCCGCGGACGTGTCGCGGACAAAAGCTCGAGATCCCCAGATCCGGAAACGCGACGCATCGCCAACCTCTCCCATCCACCGTAGAGTCGGGGAAGTCTCCGGCAAGGAGACACGGGGCCAGAGGTTGAGCTGATGCGCAGCGTATCGGACCGCAAACGGCCACAGAAAGTGGGGAGCAGCCGCATGGGTCAGGGAGGTACGAGCGACCTCCATGACTAGGCCAATGCGGCGCTCAGCGACCCCATTCTGCTGCGGAGAGGCCGGAAGCGTGAACGACTGCTCAATACCGTGCTCAGCACAGTAGGCTGCCAAGAGGTCGGAGGCGAACTCACCACCTCTGTCAGAGTGCAAGCGCAGGACAGGAAAGTCCGAGTGAAAGCGCTTGCCTAGCTGGAGACGGGCTCGACTGATCCAGGGGATCAAAACACCAGGGACGTCACCCTTGGCGCGCAAGGGGAAGACTGTGGTGTAGCGCGAGTAGTCGTCAACAACTATCAGGAAGTACCTCTCCTGACCCTGACCACGGACGCGGGCTGGGCCCCACACGTCCATGTGGAGCGTCTGCAAGGGAGCAGTCGTCGGGGGAAAGGAGGAGGAGTGAGGAGCGGCGCGCTGCCGCCCCTCGACACAGGGAATGCAGTCATAAGCAGGGGAGTCGGGAAGGGGAGGGAGCACCCTGGGAAGACCAGCAACAAGGTCCCGTTTGTGCATGGCCCGAAGGCGCTGCACAGACGGGTGACCAAGGCGGTGGTGCCAGAGGACAGTCTCATGCGCCAGAGAGCGACACGAGCAGGGGGCGGATAGCTGACCTGACGCAGACGCAGACGCAGCTACCTGAGGGGACTCAGTGGTCAGTGTGTACAGGTCCGACCCCGGCTCTCGAGTGAAAGTAGCCAGGTGGCGGCCCGTCCGAGCACACGTGCAGTGTGTCACACGCTCGTAGGCAGGGGTGAACTGGTGA